CACAATCACAAACACACAACTACAAACACAACTACAAAGACACAATCACAAACACACAACCACAAACACACACAACACACAGCCACAAACACACACACACACACACAAACACACAACCACAAACACATCCACAAACACACAACCACAACCACAAGTACAAACGCACAATCGCAAAGACACAACCACAAACACACAACCACAAACACACAACCACAAACACACAAACACACAACCACAAACACACAAACACAAACACATCCACAAACACACAACCACAACCACAAGTACAAACACACAATCACAAAGACACAACCACAACCACAACTACAAACACATAATCACAAAGACACAACCACAACCACAACTACAAACACATAATCACAACCACTACCACTACCACAAACACAACCACAAACACATCCACAAACACACAACCACAAACACAACTACAAACACACAATCACAAAGACACAACCACAACCACAAGTACACAATTCCAATTTTTCAGGACCTCTGATATCATGCACATATCATCTACAGCTCCGCCCAACGAACCCTTTGCAATGACCTAGGAAGCGGAAGCTAATCATCTCCGCGTACCTGCTTCTACAGCTATCGATTTCTGTTCTCACCTTTCAGCCAGCCACCAAGCTAGCCTTCTATTTTAAGAAATAAACATTCTAGTCGTCCGTGCTTGGTGGGGTAGGTTTGGTTCGACGCATGTCTTTCCTCTTGACAAGAGTAAAAGTGGATTACAAAAGTGGCCTATAGGAATTACCCACACGAGTGTCTTTACATGAGCGTCACACAAGACTGCTTTCCGCAAGAGTCTTCTACAAGAGTGTCCGGGCGCAAGTGCAAGTCCCAAGGCCAGACAACCAGCAGGGCTGTCTGGACGCGTGTGTGTGCAAGAACCCTGTTACATCTAGAGTCAAGGGTGCCTTGGGGCGCAAGTGCAAGCCTCCAGGCCAGACAACCAGCAGGGCTGCCTGGACGTGTGCGCAAGAACCCTGTTACCTCTAAAGTCAAGGGCACCTTGGGGCGCAAGTGACGCATCGGCACCCAAGCTGCTTTCAATCAATCCTCGGCGCACCACGCAACGATCACGTAGTCTACGTGGCGCGGCTCGCCAAGAGCGGCCCAAAGAAAGGGTGTGAGCATCACGCCGCTCACTGTGAAACACACTTGTGCCTCCAACACACCGGGAAGCAAAAAGACAACCCGCTCACGCAAAATGCGCTCAGCCAGCGGGCGGCACCATCCATGGAAACCACGCGCCTGGATCAAACAGGCTCAAGTTCTGACACCTGAATCGCAGCAAACTCCGAGAACCCAATGGTGTAAGTACCGTCGCCGGCAATGGCTGCCACAGCGTGCGGCGACGCAAGGTTCGCAGAGGCAAGGCAGCAACGTCCTTGAGCGAAAAGGTCTAGGAAGCCAAGCACAAGCTCAATCAATCAGGTCAGGGTACGTCCATGGGGCCAATCATGACTGTCGCCATGGCGCTGGGCGTGTGGGCGCGGAAACTTCGATGGGTCGTTGCTTTTGATGCCAGCGTTCGCATCGGCGCGGATGATTATTTCTTGTGACACGCAATTTCGCAAGCGTCTATTTTAAATCTGAGACTCTATCAAGAGCACAGGGCCTCTTGAACAAGAACCATCTTTGTCACCACTGCTGAAGGAACCAAAGTACCTTAGAAAATGAGACATGACCCTATAAAAACGGGTAATTATTTGAAGGTACTTTGAGACTCCAGCTAATTGCATGCATCCGAGATATGCAGCTTTCCGGTTCTGCATGTAGGCAACTTGGGTGAAAGCGGCTGTGAGAGTACCCAAAGGACCCGCAGCGGTTCCATTCCATTCCATTCCCACAAAATCCTAAGCAAGCAGCGAAGATACATATGAACCCCGCCTGTGTTCCACATCTCCACAGGTCATATCAGGTACCCGTACCTGCTCCAAAGACCCTTCTTTTGGGGGACCCTCGAAGATATCTTGGAGGTCTCACCCCCAACTTCCCAAGCATCCCAACTCCCCCCCCCCACACTCGACTCCACGCATCATTACCACCTGCCTCATCGTACCCTGTCGTGCTGGAAACTCAACCCATGCATTTGGACAGCCTCTTTTGAACATACTGAAGATATATGGGATTATATGGATGTGTTTTAGAATAGGGAAAAACCCTCCAAGATTTGCGGGGAAATCCAGCCGTATGTGTTCTCCCACTCGGTTCTGCACGCACGAAGCAAGCCGAACTTGGCCGAACTCGGCCCAGTCACGCCCGTGGTGAGGATCACATGGTGGTACTTCGGCGACAAGCTCAACTGCATCAAGGCCCGGATCACATGCCTCAGCCAGGAATCACACGTGGCCCACAGACAACGGTGAGGAACATCCCCACACGTGGGTGAGGAACACATGCCCCAGAATCGACCCAGGTTTGGGGTGCCAGGTGAGTCTGGACTTCTCTTGGGCTCAGAAACAGCTGGTTTGCTTGAAGATACCACTGATCTTTAAGATCTTGCTGTTCTTTGGAGTACGACTTCTTTCTTGGAAGTGCTTCCCAACAAAAAATTAAAACACCCAACCACCTGGCACTCCCAGTTTCCGGGGGATGGGCTGCACCCTATAGGCAGTTGATGCTGCCTCCATTCGGGGACGGACCTGTCGGTCGACCAGATCAGGTGTACCCGCAGGACTGGGTCGCTTGATCTGGTCAGCTCCGACCACGTCACGCCGAACTCGTGACACCCAGCGACACCGAGCCACACCCAGCCGAACCCGGGGTCCGGATCACCCCGGCCGCGCCGGGACAACGACGCCCGCGCCGTGGACGCTGTGAACAGCGCGTGTTCGGTTCGGGCGCTGTTCGGGCTGCTACTTTGACTGCATCTTCTGATCATCTCGATGTTCGGTTCAAACGTGGGGGGTCTCTGGTGTTCCAACGTCTTCTGTCAGGTGTTGGTCTTACTGAAAGAAGCTGGTGTTTGTGGCTGCTGATATGCAAATCGAGTACCTGACTTTTGAAAGGTGATCATGTCCATATGATGATTTCCCAGCTGTATTATTGGGTCGGGTTCCCTTTGACTCTCTGGCTCTCTATGTCTACTCTTTTCAATGTTATTCTTGGCAGGTTGAGTACCTTTGTTCTCTTGATCAAGCCAGCCATCATGCCTTCCAATGTCCCAATACACCTGAGAAAAGTGCGCAAACTGCAGAATCTAGCATTATCCAATTGTCCAACACTTCAACCAAATGGAGTTGCGCCCAACCCACTCGTGCTGAAACATCAAGTGGGGTAGGCCGGGTAGCTGACCATTTTTACAATCACCTTGAGCATCTGGATCTTGCACAAAACATATTCTGTATAGAATGGGCCCAACCTCCATCTGCATGATTTGGCAGCTCAGCACTGTGTCCAAAGTTGTTTTTTGACCTCAAACTAGGTGCTTGACCCCTTGACCGCCCAGTGTTACTCTTGGAAGACCCTCCAGAAAGCGCCAGCACAAAAGCCTCTCAATACCCCCCCCAGCGCAGGCATCAAACAACACCCTCTATCCCCACCAAGCTGCGTCTGCACCTGAGAACGGAAAAGCCGGGTGTCGCCCAGCCAGATTGCGGGATAGTGTGGGCTTGCTTGGGATTCTCAGGTCTCAAACCCTTGACCGACAAAAAGCATGCTGGAAGGGGAAACGGACACCATAAACCGCAAACCTCACAAAAACCTCTGGGGACTCTTTATCGCTGCTTCTCAGTCGACTCTTTCAGCCCGCAACCCACACATGGGCTCCTGTGGTTTGGCCGTGAAGCCCCCCAAGAACAGGCCAAGTTCGGTCGAGCAGACCCGTTCGCAACACGGGGAACCTCTTCTCGCGCAGGTGCGATAGAGAACCCAAGTCGAGCCTCCCCGGCAGCGTCGAGAGTGACCTTCGTGCACTTCGTGACCGAGCTTGAGAGGTCCCAAAACGAGAGGGCCAAGAGAAACACATGTAGCCGGCTGTTCGTGGGCCTGGAAAGCGAAAGATCCAGTTCGGTTCTAGGTTCGGAAACCTGGAAACGCACCTAACAACCGGCCGCAACGCACAGAATCTGCCATGGCGCGTTGGTGTTGTCGTTGTGGATGTGCTCAGTTAAGACTTCGAAGAGGGGCGATTCCACCTCAGCAATGGCTTTGGTTAGGCGTCCGCAGTCACGTTGTCCAACATACTGACTAATGAAGTCTGAAGTTCTTCCAAACCAACGAATCACCTTATAAGACTTGATTGACGGTCCAATCTTCCCACACATTGCTCTTTCCTCCCTTCATCTCCTCACCTCCTCATCTCCTCCAGCCTCGTCCCCCACCTGGTTTGAGCAACCTCTCAGCGCCTGGCAATCCGGTCGTGCAAGTCCACCGACTCACAGATGTTGGCGATGATGGCAATGCCGATGGGCACCTGCTGGCTGAGTCAGTTTACAGCGCCGCTGCTGCAGCACAGCTGAAACGGGGGTTGGAGCTGGAGCGAAGGTAGGACCTCCTAGTAGTATTGTAGGACTGCTACTGCTGCTGGTGAATTCAAGGTGGATGGTGCAGGGTGTAAGAATGCCCTCATGAGGAGATGCAAAACATTGTAAAACCCTTCTGCCAGGGGGCAGTTTATTCATCAACAGTCTACGTTAATACAGGGTTGTATTCCTTCTTGCCTGAGTTGCGAGGGGAGAGCTACCCAGCCCCCCCCAAGCAGCTTGATAGGTACCCCTGACCAAGGGTTCCTGCTTGTTAGACATCCCATCACCTCTTCAGGTCTTCATAGACACCCCGTCCAAATTGCTCCTCCAAAAAGTCCACCCCACGTCCACCCTTAGTCAGACTCCATCCATCACTTCCACCTCCAGGCGAAGACACGCACGCGCACGCGCACGCGCAGACGCGCAGACGCGCACGCGCTGGGCTTCCGGACGTATTCCACATGTCCTGTTCCCCGCCCAGCCAGTTCGATCACCTGGGCCACCTCTTTCTCCATCATCAGCCCTGAAAAGCCACGCACAGCTGATGTGAGCAGTCCACCTGCGTTCCTGAAATCTGGGCACCCCCCAAAAAGAAAGTTAAAACGGGATCTGAACTTGAAAGTGCAAGAATTCTTCTCTTCAAACAGAACATGAACCTCGCAGCAAGCTTAGAAACATGAACCCTTTCGAGTCATAGACAATGTTCCTCAGTTTCCGGAGGGACGGCTCGCAACCAACCAGATCTGCTTCTCAGTAACCAGATCATGTCACCCTCAGGCTGAGCAAACAAAAACAAAAAAAGAACACCACTGAGATCCACAGAGAAACTAGATGAAACTAGACAATCCCTTGTGACCCCGAGCGTTTCTTGGCTATGCCCCAGTGTGATCCGTCCGTGACCTCGGCCGCCTTTCCACCCCTTCGGCGGTGGAAGCTCCGAATCGTTGGGCCCAAACGCCCTTGAGGTCGTTCGGTCGAACTCGGCCTGCATTCTGCTTGAACATGGAGAAGTGGAGCAGCAAATCCATCGACAAAGTCTTCAAAGACTGAGGGCATTGACCTCGACTCGGTCATCGACTCCAGTCCGAACCTTCGGCCGAGAACCTTCGGCCCAGTCACGACGCGTCCGCTGGTCTAGCGCCGCTCGCTCCACCGTCTGCAGCCGCGGAACCCGCCGGTGGTCGTTCGTGACGGACGCTGCGTTCGGTGGGGGTCGATGGTTCCGAAGGTCGTGGGGGAAGGGTGGACGGAAGACTCGCCAGGTCGACGGAACTGCCATGGTGTCGACCCTGCGGATGAGTTGGATCCCTGCGACTGACGAACCCTGCCAGGGGTTGGGTGATAACATGCGGGGTGTCGTCTCTTCGTATCAGTTCCCTCTAGGGGCTGGCGGTAGCACCGGCCGGTCTCTTCCTCACCCACGATCGAAGGAAACGTCACGTCCCTTCCGATCGTCGCCACGCACGGACGGATCGGAGCCGAGGACGTATGTGAGCCGAATGAAAATGGTGATAACACAATGCATCCATTTCATGGTTGCACCGGTACGTGCCTGACGGCTCTTCTCCCCCTTTCCTTCCAAAACGGCGGCCGTGCCGGTGTCCCTTCATTTGTGCTATCAGTCAGGGCTCTACACTTCGTTCAGATTCCTTGTTTTCTGAGCCAAACGTCGATGGGCATCAAGTCTCCAAGCGTCTCCCCAAATAGATTCAAGCGTCACACTAGGTCCGAATCTGAGAGATGCGAGTCTTCTCTGGGAGATGCGTCATCCATGAACGGAACTCTTCTATTCCACCGGGCCGTTTGGCCGGGTCAGTGTCCTTCCCCATGTCCGTGAATCGTCTAACACTGGTTGGGCTCGAGTACTGGTGCAAAAAATGAAGAACAAAGGGAGTTCCGGTGGTCTGACAGGTGAGTGTCTTCATGTGTCAGAACTGGATCAACCCCCACACAAGAAAATGAAATCCAATCGCATTGATGAACCAACATCTTGAAGCATAGGAACCACCAACCGCCATGAGGATTGCCCAAGGGATTGGGTAGCCAAACTCTTAAGCCCCCCAAACATCTTCCAGCCCAACCAGCTGAAAGAAGCTAAACGCTCGCAGCTCCGAGATCGACCCAAGCGGCTATGGTAAATGCCGATGAGCAAGGGAACCAATCCTTAGCACTTCGAGTGGCAAAGAGCATCTGAAAGCGAAGCTGCGAGGGGTTCGAGCATCCTCCCCTCCTCTTCCAAGGGTGGTCTTGAAAGGAGTGGAGTAGTACCCTCTTCATGAACCCCAGTGTCTAATCCGCGGATTGGATGAGGCTCATGTGATGGATGAGACTCAGTTATATATGCGCACCCAACGAAAGAAATGGTCAATGCATGGGAGAAGCAAACACCCCAGGCGCCCTGAGGGGGCGCCTGCGAATTCGGATGATTAACAGGCCCCTTCCTGCGCAAGTTCCCCCTCTTACAAGAGCTAGGACAGCTAGGAGAGAGGAAGAGGTAGGATTCCTCATGGACCGGTGACGGATGAACTTCACGTCCAACGGCGCGTTGGACCGCGCAGGAAGCTGCAGGAAACCTGCATGGACCCCCCGCGCAAAGCGCGCGCGCATGCTGCGAGAAGCGACCCGCCACCCGAATCCCCCGGTTGGACCGAAGGAAGATAGGGAGATGACCTACCCGGTCGTGAACCGAGCCATGCCATGGAAGAATGTGATGGGCGACAAGCGAATTTCCAACGACCAGCGTGACCCAACCGACATTCACCACAAAGAAACAGGGAAAAAACAAAAGGGCTAGGCTTGGAAAACATCACGCCATAGATCATAATGAGTCCAGTTTCGTGATTCAGTGTCCAAAGTGAATCAAGCGACGACCCCCAAACAAGCCAGTGAAGCCCTTATGATGGATTAGATCTGTTTCTCCTTTTCAATGGCAAACCCCAATAGACCAAACATATGCTTGTGGCCGGCCACAAACCACGGTCGAAGTAGATCAAAAAGCCAATTCCCGACCCTCTCCGATCAGGACCTACCCAAAGACCGCTTCTCCCGCCGGTGGTTGGTCGGAATCGACAGGAAATGCCGGAGGTCATCCAAAGCATCCAAGGCCGGAACTGCCATGTGTTGGAACCCATTTGAACCCCTTCTTTGGATGGTGAAATCCAACATACTATAAATAAAAACGTTTTAATAACACTAATTAACATATTTGGGGTTTAAGTGGTCCAACATACAGGTCACTCACACCTCACCCAGTCCCATGATTTGGAGAATCTGACCCCGAACCCCACGCCCGGCGTTTCGTTCGGGTGGTGACTCGGCGTTTCGCTCGGTTTGTCCCGCTGCGGCGGACGTCACCGAGCGGCCCATGGAGGGGAAGAGTTCTTGTGCTTCGGTCTCCACGGCGAGGCCACGAAGGATGGCCAAGCTGTAGGACATGATGGTGTAATTCGGGTCCTCGCTGTGAGCCACACGTCACACGGTAGTGGAGTTCGTGGAGCCAACCAGTGGAACCAGTTGGGGTCGGAGTTCAAAGCATACGTTGCCACTGGTTCGATGGAAAAAACCGGCTGGAAAACGGGAAGACTTCGAGCCACCCAGCGTCCCTGCTCCGGCTGAGTGAAGGCAGCTTATAGGCATTGGAAGGCCAAAAAACCTTGACCCTCAGACCACTTTCTCCTTCTGTCATGGACTCGGCGAGTTGGATCTGTAGAGAGTGTTCTCTCTGTGGACATGCGTTTGCGAGGTACGCAAGAACATGCGGTCTCTGTGACTAGAAAAAAACTTTAAAAAAATCAAACTATTCCGGCAAGAGACCCCAAAACACTGTGTAGACGCATTGGGGTGCAGAGGTGATGGTGGTGATGAAGGTGGAGATCGTGGTGATGGTGGCGGTGGTGGTGACACTGTTTGGGGAAAAATATCCATGTGGGGACACCTCTCAAGCGGAATTGTCACCTGACACCTTCCAGGGCCTTCCTGATTCTTTCTGAATTCCCACTGTGAGGTCAACACCATGATCGCAGGACAAGCCCTCAGGCCCAGTGCATTCGACTCTGTCTGCTAGATCTTGGTCATTCAGAGATGATTGTGAAGTCTTATTATGGTTCTACAAGGCGTAATGTGGACTCTTGATTTGTTCAGAAATCTCTTCGGGAAGACTCAGCCGAATTTGAAGAACACTGATCCAACCTGACCAGCCAGGCCGCTGATGCACTACTCAACACATTCTCATCATTCTCAAATGCACGGCGCCACGTTACGTTCGAACCTGTCCTGCATGTAGCTCCAGATGATCTCATACACCTACGACATCGGAGAAAACCCCACCCAGTACGGTGTTTCAGCACGGCCGCACGGTAACCCCGGTAGCAACCACGGAACCACGGCGTGATGAAGCGGATCGATGTGTCGTGTTTTCAATCACTGTGGGAGCCAAGTCGAAAGAAAAGAGCAAAACAGTGATCTACCAGGGGGGATGGTCTACCACAGTGATTCGAGTGATCACTGGCCATCCAGGGGGGATGGTCTACCTCTTTTTCCTGTTCCTTTCCTCTTGCGATAGCCGAAAACACTGGAAGTGGCCGGGGGGATGGTCTACCGAACATCCATTTGCTGAAGCTTTTGAAACGCTATGCTTTGACGAAATTCCCCCCAAGGCCAAGTAATTAGGTACCCTCCCTCATGGCAGCGGAGCAGACCCCTCCTTGCAAAGGAACATGCTCTTCCAGGGGCCTGTGTTCCACCTCCCATCATGTAAACTGTTGGTGGATCACCCCCCCCGAAATGAATATGGACCCTCCGGCACTATCACCTAGCTGGACTTTCCCGACTAGAAAACGCCAAGAAAAAAACCAGACAAGATGGTCCAGGTATCTGTTGGTCCCTAGGGCTCCTGGCCCATCTCCTCAGGTTCGGTGGTATTCGACCCCCCATCTCCACCCACCCCTGGCCCATCTTCGAAACGAAGGTGGGGTGGGGTTGGAGCCTAGGGGATATATGTTGTGAACATGTCTGACATCTCTTTGATTGATGTCCCTCTCATTGCAACAAAAGAACCTTGCCGCCCTTCAAAGGGCGCCGTACGCCTCGTGCGGACCATCCTTCACCAAACACCTGGTTCGTCCGCGTTCGTTGGCCCCCGGTCTACAGACCCTCCACCAAAAAAGAAAACACCGAGTTCAGCGCGCACTGGGAAAAGCTGAGACTCCGACTTTTGCAGGTGAGAAGTCCATGGGCCAGCACGCTAGCTGCGCTGGGGCAAAAGAATTAGAGAAGGGAGAAGAAACATGACATACCCGGTCTACAGACACCCTACCACCAGCCAAAAAGCTTCGGATCTAGAACCCTAAAACCAAAAAACAAAAACAAAAAAAAGGAAGACCGGAATCTCCATGACACCGGAACCATGTCCCCGGATCGGCTCATCGCCACCATTCCGCGCAATCCTCACCTCCTTGCCCATCATCCACTTCCGGTGCCACGGATCGGCGGTCAAGTTCGCCAAGCAGAAGAGGCAGTTGATCCTGTTGCTGGGCGGCTCCGTGCCGCGGCTCCGTGCCCGGCCGCCCAGTGTTTGATCGGGGGGTCGGGGTCGGGCGGTGTTGCGGCCGTATAGGCGAAAAGGAAAAGGGGAAAACATGTGACAGCGAAGAAGGTCGGTCGCTGGAAGGAGTTGGTGGGAAGTTCTGGCTAGCCCCCTTTGAGGATGAAATTTGGAATTGCAGAGTCATCGGTCACAGAACCGTCTTCCTTCTTCCTCTTCGTTCACCCCAGAGCCATCAAAACATCTGAAAAAGAAACACGCCTCCAATGGGCATTCCTCCCATCTCCTCCCGGCGCCTGATCTCCTCACGCTGTGTCTGCTTCAAGATCGTCAGAATGCCATCGGCCGCGTTCATCTGTTGGAGCTCATGCCACATGATCTCACTACCTCGACACTCTGCGCAGCTTCCCCGCGCTCCACACTCCGCGCAGCTTCGGAGCGGCGTCGCGCCGAGCTCGGAGCGAACCGGGCGACCGGGCGACGGAGCGATCGATGCTGAGACGGAGACGTTCGATCCCTTGGAAATAGAGCGGTCTATTCCATTTGGCCAGGGGGATCGGTTTTAGAGATCACACCCCACCAAAATGGCCTGTTCGTGCTGGAACAGGCCCCGCCAAGGCGGATGGTTTGGAGTGGGAAGACACGGATGCTCCAAAGACACAAGGTCGCATGACGCAACGTGCACTCATCTTTTGGCAGAGAAGGTGTGTTTTTTTGACAAGAGCACCTAAAACATCCTCAAACCTCACATCTCGGACCTGTGCCGTCGGATAAACTTGCATGCGGCTACAAAGGATTTTATCCAATGGTCTGAAGGTTTTCTGATGGTTGAGCCATACCCTTCCGAACTGTGGTAGGGTGACCGTCCCAAAGTATGCTAGCGGGCTATGCAAGGTGGACTTGGAGATCTTCGATAGTCATCGATAGTCTGGAAGTTTTGAAGTTTGACCACCATCATTGTTCTCGTTGACAACCATAATGATCTGATATTCTTTCCCATCGATTCTATCTAGAGACGAACCCAGACACTCCATGTATGGAATATGTGCCACATTGGAGTGGTTTCAGGGGTCAATGTGGGCTCCAGTCCCACGAAGCGACTGGTGAAGTGTTTCGACGTCTCGTCTCGTCGTCGACGTTGACGACGATGGCAGACGAAGCGGCATGCAAAGTTGCCTAAGGCATTCAACACGTAGGCGATGACCTGGCCCAGCGAACGATGTGTTCCCTGTCTTCAATCTTACTCAGAGAGGCTTATTTAGAGTCGGAAAATTCAGAAACATCTGGCAATGAGACGCAGAATCTGTTCAGATCCCACCTCTTGTTGATGAGATACCTGTTGTCCATCCACAAAAAAGAAACGACCAAGCCCAGAGTTCTGAAGCTGACGACATGCCGGCGACCAAGGTCCAAGGTCGTCGTCACAAATGGCATTTTATCTCGGTTTGAAAACCGATTTCTGAGCCCAAAAACCCAATAAAAAGATCCCCTGGACCAAGGGGCAGGGCAGGGCAGGAGTTGTTGGACGACGAAGTATTCCGTCCGACCCATCGATACTCCACTCCTTTGGATTCCTGCGGATCCTTTCCTTCGTGTCGCCTTTGGCAACCCCACCGTGAACCTGGGTCATCCCCAGGTTCAAAAGAAAGAAAGCACCCATCGGTTGCTTCCCAGGAATCCTCCCGGTTTGGTCGGCTGGTTGGTCGGCGGGTTTAGTTTGCGGCGGTTGGGTCGGAAACAGTCCCGGCGAAGAGTGGACGAATTCAAGGCCAAGCACTTCGGATGTCCACTTCGGATGGAGCTGGAAGCATCACTTTTCGCGGAGCTGGATGGGTAGTTTGAAGGGTGAAAAACTGGAATACCCACTTCGGACGGAGCATCCAGCCGAAGTATCAGCAAAACCAAACACACGCCAACCAAGCGAACACTGCGCGCGGACGAGCGACCTGACCGGCTTCACACCTCATCCAGAAAGACCATCTGCTCCAACCGACGCAGAACACGGACATCCGCTCAAAACTCATGGAGTTTCTGATTCGGTCGCGATTCGTGGAGATGGCGGAGCTGAGCCCTTCAATCAAGTCCTAACCCCAGTCTAAGGACCAAGTAAAAACCTGGAGTCCTTCACCTCATCGACTCGTTGATTTGTATCTGTTGCACAAGAGAAATGAGGTCCCTGACCTGCAAGGAGGGGTTCTTCAGCATAACATGGATCCTATTCTCGCACTCAATGTTCAGTCTTCCCCGGATGGCAGCCCTGTGCCACCAAACCCCCTAGTAGTTGATGAAGGCAGGGCCGCACAATGTATTTAAGTATTTACCCAAGGTGATGTGACCATGAAAAATCCATAAAATGCCTGAATCTCCTCGATGTCCTGCTTCCACCTGTTTGTTTGCTTGAAAATCATGATTTTCATCATCTCCACCCCCCCCAAAAGAGAATTCCTATAGTTCCCTATTCACGGACCCAAAAATGTCTCAAAAACCTGCACGCACCAGACGTAAAGCGAGCGAAGGCTCGCCCGCACGCGCCGCATCTCACATCGCACCTCCTGCACTTCCTCACTTTGTAGGATCGGCACCAAATGCCTATCAGGGCGACCAAGCCAAGTGCCGGGCCGCAGCACACCACGGCCAGGCTCGGCCAACGGCTCGGCTCGGCGTGCTCCAAAAAACGATCCCGGTTTATATGAATTGGGTGTGGCATGGAGTAAGACCCGAAGCATGTGACATGGAACCGCTCGACATCTGCAAGTTGACGCCAGTTGGCAGTCTTTTGTTACTTCTTTTGGAGTCTTATCTGGTCTCCGAGAGTGAGAACTCCCTCAACAAGATCAAACCGAAAAGAACATGATATAATTAGGCCCCGATCGGGATTGGGAGGCGGCGTCTGGCTTCCAGGGAGCTCGCGAACGTCATGTATTTTCGATGTGTGTTCCACGTTGGCGCATGTGAGTTCCAGGAAGTGTATGTGGTATGGCCAGTATGGCCTTGGCTTCGCATCCCTTCTAACCATCCAACAGCCCAAAGGTCAAATGTTTGTTCACCGAAGCCTCCCAAAAAGCATGCCGTAGGGGAGGCGGAATTTTCTGCGTCCGTCCAGATCAACTTCTTCTTAGAGTCCTGTGGCCTGCACCCTGACACCTTAAAGATGGGCACCCACCAAGCAGCATGGGTTGTGATACGCCAACTCCTCTCATGGCACTATGGCAAGTGTGAAAAACAAGGAGTCCTGGAAAGATGTTCGGGAATCCAAGTGAAGCTGGGGATTCCAAACCCCCAAGAAAACACCAGCACTTACAAAAACACCAAGGACTCCAAAGAACATAAAATCCTGGTTGCCAAAAGCTTCGCCACGTGCCCGGTGCCCCAAAAAAAGAGTCGAAGAGAACGTCGTTCTGCGGGCCTCAGCACTTCCTCTTCTAGCAGCTGTGGGTGTGTCGCCGCTGACGTGCTCAAATTCGCCACGGCCAAGGCGGCATACATGCGGCAGTCCTGGCACGGCGGCAGGAGCAGCTCGGTTGACATGATGCGAAGCTTGGCCCTCAAAAAGGTAGGGACCTCATCAAAGCTCTTTTCTGAATCTCTGAAAACTAAGGCTACAGCTGCTATGTATGATGCATGCTTTCCTACAGGTCAGTTGGATCTCATTTCACTGGAGTTGATAGTGAATGATTCTCCTGCACTGGGGTGTTGGAATGTCACGTTGTGTCTCTTTCTATGTGGGGATGGGTCAAAACTGGAGCCCCAACACCACCATATAGCGAACGACATCTTTTCCCGTATGGGTGTGTATTTTAAATCCGGGAGAACCCCGATCGCCCATGGGCATGGGTGGACTGGTCGATTTCCAGAACCTTCCAGGGGTCATTCCTGGGGAGGTCTCCCTATGTTCAATACACATCCACATGATGCTTGGCCCATCTTGGCCCTCTATTCCTGGCAGCAAAACCCTAACAAACACTATCTGATGACAACGAACCCTAACACGACTTTGGGCTAGTCCATCACCACTATCTAACAAGTAGCCCTAGTATAACCTAATCTATGGGTCATCGTATGTTTCTTAAAGGCTTTTATTGCATTGGAACCCTAACAGCCCATCTCTCAGGTGGAGCGGGTACTTCTTTTTTGTCAAGCCATACCTGGAACCCAGACATGACCCCTGTTTTGATAGGAACTTGGACCATCAACTTGGGGTGGTTGGTGGTCACTCAGGTATACCCTGACAGTGAAAGCCATTGCAGCATCAGAAATCGATGGTTGATCCTCCCTCCACCGGAACACCGCCCGAACGCCTTCTTCGGAGGTGGGGAAAATCCGGGAAAGTCCCAACCCAAGAAGGAACGCGCGACCAGCGAAAAGGTCTCACCCAGAAGCTTCAGATGTTTCAGAAGTAACTTCTTCGGTTCGCAAAACTCGGTGAAGCCCTTCATTCAGGGGGGCGGCTTCGAGTGGAGTTGCGTTCGGTCAAACAAGGGCTTCAGGCAACTTCATGCTTTCGGGCGCTCCAGGTGCCACTTGCTAAGGTCCCAGGGAGAAGACTTGGCCTAAAATGGGCTGAGGCAGTCTTCTAGCAATCTGAGGCAGTCTGGCTTTGGTTCTAAAACAGTGAGGTCGTCTGGGCATCCTTCGCTCGCCAAAGGTTCCAAAAACATCCCCATGAACCACCACCACTTTGGCATCAAGGGACTCAGCCATCGACTTGGGGCATCGAGGTCGCTACTGGGAGGTCTTCATCATCATAATTGGACTGGTGTTTATATCCAATTACGAATGAAGACCCCCAATTACTTTTCAAGCACGAGTTTATATCCTCGTCGATTATTACTGAGGTTTAAATAAGTTATATCCTGCTGTGGTAATGAGGTCAGAAGTGACCTGCAACTTCAAGCAGCTGGTCTCTCAAAGGAATGAAGTGTTTCTGTACCTGGGAATGAGTTTGGATCGGCTTTGAGGTCGCCTTCTGAAAGAGATTGGCCATGAATGGAGACTCTTAGACTGAAGAGTTATATAGCCGCTTAGCCCTTTTATTTGGAGGCACGAAAACCTCTTCTATCTGGGGCACGGGACTGTACATCCGGGTCTCTCAGCGACCGTCCGTGAGAACACTGTCCCCTGTTTTGATCAGAAGGGGTACACTCCCGAGTCTCACATGGACCCTGACTGTCTGGTTTTCGTTATCGTTTTCCTCGACCCAAACCGCGCGCCGCGCGGCGGGGTGTTCGAGGCTTCATTCACCTCGTCGTTCGACGGGTGTACAGTCTCAAGAGTCGAATCAAGAGTCGTCACGTGACGTTTGACAGGTCCAGTCCTTCAAACTCTATGGCCTCGTGGCGAGGCCATTGAAATAGGGAGATCCCCTTTTACCCATCCCGTTGAAGAAGGGAAATAGACCCGTTGACCCACTAGAAACAATGGTTCAAAAAATAGAAACCCGTCTCTTGGGTATATCCCAGTAAACCAGGGCCCAGTGGATGATGGTTCAGTTGTAGGCCGACTTCCATCTCAAAAAGAGTGATTTTGCTTGTGCCTTTCCTGTTACAGGGTTTACTGGGACGGAGCCACCCCCAAATTTTGGAACATCGAAGCAAACATCCTTGGAACATGTTCCTGGTTCCTGTTGATGTGACAGACCCAAGCTATTGATGTTCCTATTGATGACAGACCCAACCCATCTCAGTCTTTTGGGGAAGAGATCTCCTCCCCCACTCACTTCGCGCTCGTCGGTCGCTCGCTCCACGTCGCGTCGCGTCGTTCGCGATCTTCGGGGCCTCGTCCAGTGAGATGATCAAAGGCAAGATCGCCGTCCGCCACCCTCCGCGCTGGACGATTCGGACCTGGCCGAGGTCGCGCGCGCGCGGGATCTGATCTGATAGATCAGGGTCGCATGGGAGATCCGAAGCCGAGAAAGCACGGAGGTCGATGGCGGCGGCAAAGCGGTCAAGCTATGAGTTCCATGAGTCCATGACATGATTCCATGATAGGCAACTGTTTGGGAAGAGGTTGGGAAACTGTTGCCATCTCCATCCGGTGAGTGGGAGATTTACATCCAGAGCTCCTGAAGATCAAAAACAACTAAGACATCCTCTTCAAACCCGTGTTCGAGGGATTTAAGGAAAGGAAGGGAGAAAACAAACCCATGCTTTCTGGCAGTTCAAGATGAAATGAGTTGAACATAGTTGAACTATCTATAGAAGTGGATGTCATGAATGAAAGTGCCAACTTGGATGTCTCACTCCACTCAGCCCTCCCGATCCTCCGAAGCCATCCACCCCAGCGCGCCCATGCCGGCGGATTCGCAACTCCAACGACTCTGGATTGACCTTCATGTAGTGTCGACTCGATCTTTCTGTTTGCCCCAAAAAAGACCACCATGGTCCGAACAATCGCCAGGCCGGCGGTTGAAATTGATGTCAAGAGACATACAGAAGTCTCCACGGTCCACTTCCCATGATCCAAGGACCATCTGGACGATGTCGTGAGAGGTCCAAGGACCAGGAAAGGACCTTCCCCAGGTGTAAAAGGCATCAAGCGAAACCTTTGAGGGAATGGAAGATGAGGCAGACAAACATCAGGATACAGGTCATTAACAGACATCCCCTGAAAATGATGAGAACCAATGACCTCTGAGCCTCTACTCACCTCGACCACCAAAAAGACTATGAAAGTGTCTCCACTTGCCCCCGACCGGAGCGACTTCGACCGAAGCGCAACACCCCGCCTGAAAGGCTCGATTCGAGCACAAGCTCGCCAGCGTCTTGATGCCATGGCGCTTCTCCTGGCGAGGCACCGAGCGCAGCAGCTTTGAGCGCTTTGAGCGGCTCGATGGCGCTTCAGATCGTCCGGCGTTCGCGGGTTCCGGAGGCGAAGGAAGGAGGTTCCGGTGGGGAGAGCGGGTTCCGGTGGAAGCACTCCCAAGCACTCCAAGCCAGTTCTCAGGTTGGAACGCTTGGGGAGTTGCTCGGATCTTGCCAGTCATCGGGACGCTCTTCACGGCTTGGGCATGGCTTGCGTCACAACAAATGGAGGGTGACCGGAGTTCTTTTTTGGCAAGTCATGAGTTCTGCCAGATTATATGCATGGGTTTTCCCCCACGTGGCCTTTTTTGGCCTTTTCCCCTTTGAGATATTTGTAGATCATGGTGATTCTTCTTGGAATCCTAAGGATCCGAATCTGCGCAAACTGGTTCCTCTGGACAGGCCACGAGGGGAAAACAACAGCACTACCTGTTCAAGGCGGTCCAGGAACCTGCAAAAGAGTGGAGGACAACACCCCACCATGGGGGTGATCATGATCCTCTCCAGTTGCTTGTAAGGGGTCTATATATATATATACAGAATGCAGGTCCTTCTTCCACGTCTCTTTTCATCGAAAGAATTTCAAGAGCCGGATGACCCCACATGTCCATTGCATCAAAATGCGGAGCTACAAAAACGTAGACGGGCAACAAGGGTGATCGCGGATGGGGCTAGAGGGACTCGGATAGAGGGACTCTGTGCGCGTGTGATGTTGGAGAATAACGATGATGATGCGAATGGTAAATGGAAGATATGATATGCATGTTTGCAAGGGTTGGGTTCAAATATTCACTCACAACTTTCTGACAAAGCCATAAGCCCAAAGGTTGACAAAAGTTGCTCATCAAGATTCCGAACTCATTTGGGTGCGTCGCGTGCACCAACAGCATCTTGCAAAGCGTCTGCCCGTGTGTGAGTTGAGTTGGTTTAATCTGCATCAGCAGAAGCGACCAAACGGCGGAACAGCAATCGCTCTACAGAGCAGCAACAAAAAAAGTAAGTTCCCGTGAGTATGTTAGTGTGAGTATTCTGTTGGGGAGACTTACTAACTTGGTGTGAGTAAATTGGGAGGAGGAGCAGTAGGAGGAAGAGGAGGAGATGTCGAGATTAGCCACTAGCATATGGGGAAACGGAACGGCAAGAGTTCTTTGCAAGCTGCCTTGGCCCTACTTTTCAAAGCCCCGACGCTTCCACTCTGCCCATTGCAGGGCCCCGCCCTGCGATTCTGCTCTCGACAGTGTCGCCTTGACATTCTTCAGCACACGGAGGGCTTGGATCAGTTCTCCATAGGACCTCAGCCCAAAATTTCAGCTAGTTACTCACTCTCTCACCCGAAAAAACCGGCTATCGGAGGTCACGGAAAGACAAGGCGTTCGGGTGGGTTCTCGGGTCCATCAATTGGAGCTCGGGAGCTCGGCAGTGGATGGTTCCTAAGCTCGGAGAATGGTTCTCTGGCGTTTTGGGCAATGTCGTGGCCCCTTTTGACCCTTCCACACCACCCGATTCCAAAGCCACAGAGTCCGAGCCAAGCAGAGGAAACAAAAATCCGATGGCAAAAACGTCATAGATCTGCTGAAAGACTCGACCTTCCTTTTTTGTTGACCCCAGACTTGGCACGATGGATCCATTCGTAAGGCAGACCTCCAGGTTCGGACGTGGGCGATTTTCAACGTGGGGTGGACTGTTCTGAAGGAGATTCGACAAACTTTCGGGGCACCCCAGGAAAAGGTCAATTCCACAAGCAGCACAACTGTTCTTGGTGTTTTTGACATGTTCCATCTTCTGTTGCACTGCAAAAACTCTCCAGTTTGATCCAATTTGTGAGTCAAGGCAGCAGTTTTTCCAACTTCCGAGTAGATCGCTCCACTGTGCCCCATGCAGAAGATCTTTTGGGTGCAGAAAGAGGCAACAGGAATCTCCGAATACTCCGAATTTGGTAGGAATCATCTGTCTTTTCTATTTGATCGTCACACCCCCCTGGACACCCCAAAAAAAATATCCCGAAAACAGTGACCCCAAACTCAGCGTGTGTGAGGTCTATAAGCAGAAATACACTCAAGACATGTCCCGGGTCTTCCACCCACACCCTCGTCGCTCGTCGCCGAGTTGCGACATGCTTTAAGCTGTCCCGGTCCTACTACCGGGGCCTAAGCTGTCAGCCTGGCGCGTGGGACGGATGTGCACCCAAGTCCATTCCAGTGCAAAAAAAATAAAGTCCCCAAATAGATAGAAACGATGTGCAATACTATGTGTTTCTACTTGTTGAAAAGGATTTGGGGTCCTCTATAACTGAAATGGACTATCTCAATCAATAGAAACAGTTGAAAGGGGGTTTTACTTGTCTATCTCTTTGGGGGTCGCTCAAAGCTGCGGCATGGGTCGTCACCCACCTGGAGGTTCGGGTAGGTCGTCCACCAGTCCAGCCGTTTTGGTTCGGGTAGGTGGTGCCCGGTCGGTACTCTAGAAGAGTATGGTTAGCAAAGACATGGAATGGCGAGTGCAGTGCCAGTCAAACAAAAAGAGGGTTTTGAATGTGGCTAACATCCAAACACTTGGCTCAGTATTTCCAGAAACGATGTGATTTGCAAGACAAACATCGCCTGGCCAAGGAATTCTAAGGGTTGAGAACATACTAACTTAGCTTTCCCAGGAAAGCGGTTGGATTCTGTCACGGTCGCTCTCACAGGTTCATCCACACCAACCAAGCCAGAAGTTGCCAATCACCAGTCAGGTCAAAAGTACAAAGACTCTGGAACCGGCCAAACGAACCCAACGAACCCAGAAAGCGCCATGTGTTTCTGGGTATGTTCCAAGTGAGGCCATGTGTTTCTGGGCTGATCAAGACGTCTTTCAACCAAAGCCGCGGACTGATTGAATTGAACGAACGGCTGGCTTCATGCGGAAAGGGCGTCTTCATGGAGTCGCACCACGAAACTACAGAAAACCACCAGTGAATTGACATGGACGTACAGGCAAAACCAAATCCGGCACTATTTGGTTTTTGGACTCTGAAAATTGGTCGAAGGATCCAGATCAAAGAAACACCCAAGACATAAAGACTGTTAGAGAATCAAAGATAATATGCCCCCCAAGAATGTGGACTGCCACCATCAACTCTTCCTATATATCTCTTCTTACTCCTTCAGCCGTCGCAAAAGTGGGCTGAAAGTCCGCCGGTGCAAGGGAGGGTCCAGCCAGGTACAGCGAGTCTTCCCGTTCGGTCCATGCCATCAGGTTCCATGCCATCATCCTCCCCAGGTCGCCAAAAAGATCCTTCACATCAGGTCGATGTCTTCCCCCCACATCAGGTCATATGACATCTCCACCGGGCGGTGGCGCTCGCACGCAAGGTCGCTAGACACTCGTTGGGTTTGGGGGACGAACCATGGGCTATGACGCCCTTGGCTCGTTCAGACCTATCAGAGCCTATCACAACAAGGTATGTGTCTCTTTCAGACCATCCCAGGGGATTTTGGGCACCTGTCTCGCGATCCCCATAGGCGATAGCAAAACAGGCACGGGATCTGCGGGAACAGTGCATTCTCTACACCCCATGGTAAGCTCTTTAAGGGAGAATAGTATAGCACTTTTTTGGGCACTTCTTCAGCTGTTGGTCTGGCCAGTTGCCTCTTGGCGAAATAGGTGCGAATAGTATGGAACCCAAAAAACTCTCTTCCGCAAGCTCAGCTCTCCCTTCCGCGCTCAGGACGCTCCCGCACCTGATGGCCCCTCCCCTTAGGCCATTCACTCGGCTCAGACCCCCAGCGACGTGACGGTCGTTCTGGGGAGATTTCTTGAGCCCAAAAAAACCTGCGACGCGGTGGGATTTGGCCCGCAGCGCGAGGTGCCTGCCGAGCCCAAGGGCGTAGGAGGAACCCCAAGCCTATGAGTAAGGTATGTTGTTTTTTCCAGGCGCCTTTCAAAAGACCTTCTGGACCATATGATGGATGCGAACTCCTCTTTCCGGCCCAGAGGGATGTGGAGAATTCGGCATGTCGAAAGCCTGGTAGTTCACCCGGAATCGGAAAGGCTGGAGGGAATCGATCTGTTTGAACTAGAGAAGGGATCCGCCATGAGGACAACAGGAATGTAGAACTGTGCCTTTCAACTGTGAACATTCTGATGAAAGAAGAAAATGGGAGTCCTGGCCATTCTTTTTTGGAACCAGCGGTAACCGGTCATGTGGTTCCGATTGTCCGTTCTCCAGGGCGGGTATGTGGTTGGCTCAGAACGGACATCAGATGGTCAGATATGTTGCACAGCGAGGTAGAACTGTCATCAGACTCGTGCGTTCGTGAGGAATGCTGAATGGAGTGCTAAGGCATCTCTTGTGGGCTCTTGGGGGGGTTCACTCCCTTATTCCCTACTGAGCACAAGTCAGTCATCTTGATTGAACTAAAGTCACAAGCTCGACTACAAATACATGAAGTTGATCAACCAATTCCAAACAGTTTGCGAAGTCGCCTCCTGCGAAAAAGGTAGCAGCGGCACCCGAAGTCCGCAAACACGAGAACAAGAGGGCGCACTGAAGCGCCGCGGCCGCGCCTTTTGCAAGGCAACTGCCCTCCCAGTCTTGAGAGGGAACGACGGTAAGTGAAGGTCGAAAACAGTTCGAACTGCCGAAACACAAGTGCACAGCGTGAACTTTACATGGGGGAGAGTCCTTCGTCATCACCCCAGTTCCGCTGTTCGAACCGGTCCAGCCATTGGTAGACCAAGGTCCGCACAGATGAGCCTGACCGATCATCGACAAGGTCAGGTGGAATCACCCTCAAACTACAAAGGCGGCAGAAATCTACTCGCCGCTGCAGGCTTTCATCTCTTCCGGCCAGGCTTGAACAGTTCAAGGTCGTGTGCCATCTGGCGCCATGCCGGCTGATGATCATGCCATTGTAGAAGGGGCATTCATTTCCATGCTCATCCATCTGCCTCAGGGCGATCTTCAGGATCTGGGAGGCTTCCTGTGCAAGGGTCTCAGCAGCATTCTGGTTTCTCAGAACCAGATTCATCGCTGTCGTGGCTTCGACAGCAGCAAGGCGGGACTCCTCGGCTTTGGAACTCCAGCGCAGGACTTCCTGCTTCAGGCGTTTGACTTCTTCTCTAAGGCGAACTGGGATGATCGCATCATCCTTTTGGACTGCAGCCTCAGTGACCTGGGGTGGTACTCGGTGGCGTGCATCATGGCTCCATCGACCAACCATGAAGGCTGTGCTAAAAAAAAGTAGAAGGAGGGTGCACAAAACAGTTCCAAACCAATCCATTCCAGCTTCAGGTTCCACATTGGCCGAATCGGCCGTGACCAGCTGCGGGGCCATGAACAAAAGCAAAAACCAAAACATGAAATTCGTCTTACGACCGCGGTAGGACTCGAGCGGGCGGCTTCCGACATGGCTCGGACTGTCGGAGACATACTCAAGCTTCCGGTCGGTCCTGGCAAACATGACATTCACAGGAACCTTGGAATTCCGAAAAATCTCTTCATTCCAAAACACCTGCTCATCGACATTCACGTCATTCTCCGCAGGATTCTCGTCGATGGGCTGCTGGTGCTCCTCGTGGAGGTTGGGTTCCTCATTGATCACATGTGGTGGTACCACATGGATGCTTTCGGGTTCCTCATTGATCACATGTGGTGGTACCACATGGATGCTTTCAGGTTCCTCATTGATCACATGTGGTGGTACCACATGGATGCTTTCAGCAAGACTCTGTTGGAGCTCAGCTTTTGTCTTCTTCTTGGCAGCTTTGTATGAGGGGTCCCAAACAAGCTTCAAACGACCGTGACGTAGCCGTTGTGCAAGAAGTGCTCTGGCCGACTCTTTTGTCAAACCGTCAGCCAGTTGGCGCTCCGATGACATCCACCTCAAAGAACCGCCCAGTGAAGACAGGCGATCCTTCATCACACGGATCTCAAGCGAAACTCGCTTGTCAACCACAGAGCTTCCGACTCCTTCTCGGTGATAGGAGTCGTAAAGGGCTTTGGCGTCCGTGATCATGGTGGGCGACAACAAGGATGGAGCGTCCAAGAGCTCTTGGAGTCGCTGGCGAGGGTCAACCAACAAGCTCCAGTAGATGCTGGCATGCTCCAAGGCATCGCAAGCTTGACCACCGCTTTGTGCTTCGGCGCCCAAGGAAGAGCGTGCAACTCTTGGCGTTTTCAAACTGCGCCAATCCAACACGTGGTAGGCTCCTTCGGGACCATTGGCCTGAAGCAAAGCTTTGTTGACCATCAGGATCACATAGCCAGCTTGTGAGGCTCCGTCACTGCGGGTGGCAAAGGCAGCATCAAAAAAACATACCAAACAAAGTTCTGAAACTTCGCCCAGGTGGCTGTACTGTAGGCCAACATCAGCATTTTCTTTTGCAAAACGCAGCAGGCGATTTGTGTCGGCCACTGTCTGAAGCGTGGCCTTGGTGACATGACCGCTCAGGATCGAGGTGCTGCTCTGCAAGTGAGGACTGCTTTGAACTGCGGGCCATTGAAGTGAACCAAGAAGTCCTCTCAGCTGTGTCAACTCACGCTGATTGAGCGCATCGGTGAGGCTGCGCTTCTTGTCGTAGGTGATCGGTTTCACCTTTCCCATGTAGCTGGTCTGGTTGAGGAGGAGACCATCATCCTTGACCTGAATGTCACAACCACAATAGGTCAAGGGCTTTCCATCATCACCAGTTTTCCATTCACGGAAGTTGAAGGTGCTCTTCAGCTTGGTGATGGTGTCGTTGTAGCACTGGGAGGATGGCGAACCGCAACCAAGCATGTCATCGACGTGCATGATGACCATACCACATAGGCCATGAGGTCCAAGCAGGTTGGAGTGCTCAGCTGTGGTGTCATACTCAGGGTTGAGGTCACCTTCATAGATCAAGAAGCAGCAAGGGTCTTGAGGATGCTGTCGGAGGCCCATAGCGCTCAGCTTATCAACTGCAGCCATGAACCAAGATCTCGGGGCATCGATCTGGCCGTAGCAGGGCTTGAGAAGCAACATACGGGTGTCAGCTGTAGCTCCAAGCAACTGCAAACACTCTTGAGGAAGCTGCACCCACAACTTGCGTGTCTGAGGTCGACCCTGCAGGAAGGCGGTTGCTATGTCTGAAGTCCAGATTGGCCACTGCAT